ATTGATTAATTAAAATATCAAAATTTTGATTAAAAAATTTGGTAATATCTTGTCATAATTGTAGACTTACAATCATATATGACATTATAATTATAATATCTTCAAAAATGAAATATCATATAGTTATAATATTATATGATATTGTGAGCTTATAGCATAACTTATTATTATATAATTGATTTTTTTTTTTGCTCAAAATCTATTTATGATATTATATCCATTCACTTATTTAATAATACATTATACTCATTTAATAGTATGTCATAATTGAAAATTTACAATCTTATATGACATTTTAACTTATTTAATAACGGTCACACTTATTTAATGTCATGTTACGCTATAATCTTACAATCCTACATAATATGGTAGCTATAACATTTTAAAATAAATTGATGCATACAATATTATATGTGAATTCTGAGTAAAAAAAAAACCAATTATGTAACAACACATCAATTGTAAGCTTATAATATTAGATAGTATTATAATTATATCATTGTAAGCTTACATAATAATATATCGTTATATAATTGATTTTTTTTACTCAAAATTGTGTATATTTATTTATTTAATAACATATCATGTTCATTTAATACTATATCATAATTATAAATTTATAATTTTATGTGAAATTATTACTTTAGCATTTCCAAAAATAATAAGTTCAAATTCTATCACTACTGCTCTGGAAGCAAATAATTTTAAGATTTATATACTCATTATAACGGTAAAAAAAGAAAAAAGAAAAAAAGAGTTTTCTAGTGTGTAATAGTTGTAAAAAACAAAAACTAATATATTTAACAGTTATGGCAACATCAAAACTCAATTGGGAGGCATGATTGCTTGAATAAACTAAGTGAGCATGAATAGGGTTTTGCTCGATCAACAAGGTAATTAAGAATCAATTAATAAAGAATATGTTCCCTTTTTTTTATTTTTTTACACTATATGACAATGACTTATCTAACATGAAATAATTATTCGTTTCTCTTAATTTTTTGTATTAATTTTAAATTTTGAATTTTAAATTTTAAATTCCTTATCACTTAAAACCTCACCAAAATCTCTCTTTTCTTTGTAAAATCTCTTCTCATGAACCTCAAAATTTCAACACGAGTGACTTATCGTGATGAACCGGCGTTCTTATAAAAACGAAACTATGGTTATTCTTGGATAGAGCAGGCCAACCATATTCCATTAAAAAACTGGGGAAACAAAGGGACAGCAGTAGGTGCAGGCCGTCTGTCACTAGCTCAGCAAAGGTTTGTCCAAATTCCATGCACAAATAGGTCATCTTGGCTCTTACATACAAATACTTGTTTTAGGTTAGGCATATACTAATTAAAAATTATCGCACCCCTTACTTTGATTTTGAATGTTTTATTTTTTGCATATATACTAACTATTATTGTAATTATAAATTAAATTTTAATATATAAAATTAAAAATTATTATATTTCATCTAAACATAATATTAATGATTAAATATTAAAAAAATGAAAAAATTCAAAACCCAACTAAATAGAGTCTACATCTAGAGCATGATTAAAACCACACAATAAATTATTAAAGTCAAACAAATTTTTAAATTTTATCTTTTAAAACATTGATTTTGTTTAGTTTGATTGGTAGAAACAACTAATAACTGCAGCTATTAGTTGATAATAACAAAATAACTTATATTTATTACTTAATAAATTTAAATTAGTTTACATATTGATATTTTTAAATGTCATAACTGATCAGTATAGAAAAAAAAAAATTGTATGGCCCTAACCACTTCCCTGCATCTACAACGTTACCTTCATTGATGCAAATGATATCTAATTTCAATCTTATCTTAAAAAAGAACTTGAATGGTTCTTGTTTCGTTTTTTATCACCTTGAATGGTTCATTTTTGTCACTATTTGTGTTGACATGATCGTGCAAGAGTAATTAAACTAATCAGTAATTAAGATTAATTTTTTCCATTGAAGGTATTGAAGTAGTATTATTTTGAAGAGGTGGAGCACCTCGTTGTTCAGCCATCATCTTTTCTAAACTGTTCAAACATCGTGTGACTTCATTAGGCGGAGGTTGTTAGGGTGGAACCACATGACACTAATCCTGTGATTCACTAAGAGCAGGAATAGGTCGGTTATCATTAGAATGAATTGGGTTGGGGTCTTGCAGCTCAACTAGGGGTTGCTAAGTTGGATTCAATAGGTTGGGGATCTCCAAGATTGTTTCGAGCTAAGAGTTGAGCTAAAACCAACTAAAAGACACTGAACTGCTATTGCATTGCTGCGAACTGAGCTGAGACTGCATCACCCTAGTTGGGAGTGGGAGTTGAATTGTGAGGTTGGTTCTCATCAGCTCCTTTTGCATGTTTCGTAAAAGCAAATAGATTTGGGGTATGAGGTGGAAAGTTATTTGGGTGCTGAGCTTGGCCTCGTCCAAGAGGCCGGACTTGACTTCCAGTTCAAATAGACCGACTATTAACCATGATAAGAAAAGAACAATGAAGCTTTTAGTTCGAATTCCCATAAATGGTGCCAAATGTAATTGCAACAAACCAAGCAGCTCCTTCCAGTCCAAGTCTTCTCTTTGGGATGACCTGCAAAGCCCCGAAGTAGATCCCCGGGGTAGACACTTCAATGCTTAAATCAGCAATACTCTAGTCTACCTTTAAGAATTATGGAAAAAGAAATTTTAGGTCGGTTTCAATTACCTTTTTGAGGTGGCCCCTAGAGGTATTTATAGGCTTTAATGAGGTATTCACGTGGCCTGCTTAACGAGATAATCAAAGTCTGACATGTCCCTTCGGGCGATGATCTCAGGGATAGAGGATTGGGTGCAAACATGTCTATCGTAGCTGTCATGCAACCGTATGACCAGGAAGAACTGAACTTACGAGTTATTTTGATCATTAAGTGTAGCAGTACGTCCCGAGATCTTTAACCTCGGACCTATCCTTACAGCTAGTATATAACAAGTTAGCATCTCCTCCATATCTAAAAATGTGCAATTTTTTTCTTTTTTGGAAATAATAGATATATAATCATATAAAATATAATGCGTTCAACAATCACTACAAGAAAAAGGATTTTTAGTGACAAAAATTTATGACAAATTTTAAAATTGTTACTATAATTCATTATAATTGTAACAAATTTTAAATTTTAATCATAGATGTACACAAATTTAATGATGATGAAAAAATTTGTCA